AATAAACACACACTAAAGCTCAACAAGTTTCTCGACTTTTTTTTTAAACATTAGGTATATGTACTTACTTATCAAAAGAGAGCACGATACTAAAATAGGAACCATACAATGTGCATCTATAAATACACCAACTACGATGTTGCCAATAACTGCACCAATTCTGCCAAACATGGAACCAATAGAAAGGCCTACTCCCCTAAAATTAATAAAATATTACGAATTTTGAATAATTCTAACCTTCTAAACTTACCTATATTCTGTTGGAAATATTTCAACACCTATGCAAAATACTAGACCAATACCAATGCTGGAAAGCGCTTCAAATAAGGAAGATAACATGATATTTTCGAACGAAGACGAAATGAAGTACAAACAACCGGCGAAAAAACCTGACCCGAAAAAACTTAAAACTAAAGAAAAACATAGGTACCTATTAAATTAGTTTAAAATGTATACATATTAAATCGACAATTGTAATTAATTAATTGTATTAATAAAATTGTAAATTCGGTTAATACTGTTAAATATGCGACGTGTTAAACTCTTTTATGGCCAATAAGTAATATATTTTATATTCTGAGCGGAGCGAGGAAGCTATTGATTTTAGAATGGTGTTTACTTTTATTTTTATTTTATCCGGTATACAAAATTTCTACCAGAAGACATTCTTCCATTTTAACATAATATAGTACTTTATCTTTTAGCAAAGTGGACCAAGATGGTACTTAAGAGAGGTAATTTGATCTTCTCAATAGTTATATTTAATGCCACGGGAAAAATACAGTCAAATTACGAAAAACCGCTAAAAATGGGATTGGTGACGCTTTGTACATCATCATAGAAACGAATAAAAAATAATAATATAATAATATTAATTCAACTTACATGATAATAAATAAATAAAATATCCAGACTGACAAATCGTCTCTGCTCAGAATCGTTTTTCTTAAACAATGATATTATTTCATTGAATTCAAGTTTAATACAATCCATTATACAATTACCCACTTGTAATCTACTGTACAGCAGAGCGACATCCACTTACCAGCTTTTTTAATTTATTTCTATTTTTATTTTATTTAGTTACCTTATCTTTATCTTACAACATTTTTTGAAATTATATACAAACCTAAAAAAAATTTAATTCCAAATCTGTTGACGAAGAGCGGTACAATAATACTTGTAGGTATACAAGCCATGCCAATGATGAGAATGTTCTCGTAAACAGATTGATCGATTTCATCATTGCATATGAGATCTAACTCTTCAGGTTCAATTTTAAATAGAGATACAATTTCACACATATTTGTCATATTTTTGGGACCTGGATATAATGTTTCATACCATCGAAATCTATTCATCAGCTCTGGGAACCACAAAACCATCATGTAAAAGCTACACATTTAAAAATTCAGAATAAACGGGTTCATGTAACAATTACTCTGTCGTTATTATTGGCTTACATATTTTTTTTATTTTATACTTATTTAATCTATTGTTACCTGGCAGAGCAACAAAATTGTATCACACATGTAATAATCGCTACAAATTTGTATTGAGAAGTAAACAGTTCCAGAATGCTCTTGTAGAGTCCTTTAAAAAAACTATTATTCTGTTCATTAATACAACAATCGGGTAACGTTAATGAAGTCACCTGCAACAACCAGATACAAATAAAGTAAGTGTTATTTACATTTGTCGAAAGTGGTCCCGTGAGAGCATTATTAGCTGATAATTACAACCATAGGCGTGTCCAGACCTCAGGTCATGCGCACAACAGTGACATATCCAGGGGAGGGTTTACTGCACCCTACCCCACCACCCAAAAAAAAATAGATTAAGGTTTGGGAATATGACCCTCAAATTTTGAAATAAGCTTTATCATCTGATAATAATTAAATCAGTTTTCCTTTTTTTATTAGGAATAAAAAACAATATTCCTTTTATCAGATAAATAAATAACTAGTTAGGTTATATGAAATTGTAATGAGTAATTTTAATACTAATAATAAAATTAGGGCTGGGATTTTGATGGAAAGCCACTTTTTTTCTGATGTTCTGAAAAATTGATCCGTAAGTATAAAATTTGTTTTGGGTGGTACTGATTAATTAAAAATATTTTTCATTTTGCATTTTCTTGCATTTTGTGACAAAAATACCTGAAATGCATTTTTAAGACATTTTTTGACGTTTTTAGTGCATTTTCTTAGTTTTTAGAGCATTTTTCACAATTTATTCATAAAATGAACGAAAATTGTTGAGATTCGGAAGAAACTTTCTACAAAGACCGTGACCGTGACGGTACGAATAATAAATTATATATAGTATGATATATTCATATATTACGGACGATATTTTACACTTTAAGTATCATTAGTCGAAGTCGAAAGAAGTTTTTCTACTTACAAAAGTATATTATCCGACCAACGACGATCATTTTTATTTGAAAATATAAGACAGCATATCATTATACAGTGCATAGCGATTTTGTTCAGGTTAGTATTAATAACAGCTAGCAAAAACAAGTTAAAATATTAATTTTTTTTTTTAATTATTATTTTAGAATGAATGATTAAGAAAACAGAAGCATAAAAACAAGTACAACTAAACAAGTAATAACGTACAATAAACTACTAAAAAAAACAAAAAAAATTAATTACTATAATTTAAAATTATTTTTCCAAGTTTTAAGCTATAATAAATATAATTTAAATGCATTTTTTGAGTTTTTTAAGTCATTTTTGCATTTTTTTTAGGGCATTTTTTGAAATTTTTTAGGTCAATTAAAATCTCAGCCCTGCTAATAATACTTTTTATAAATGTTTATTTTTATGTGATGAAAATCAAAAAACTTAATACAAAAGCAGAAACTTAGATAAAAATGTTTATGTTATGCACCACAATTTATAATCTACCAAGTTGGATAAAATTTCGCAGACACCTGTAGACACACCTATGATTACAACTTAAACTTGCCGGAAATTCATCATCAGTATTATTATTCCATCTATAAACGAATTTCAAGCAATCCATGGTCTCGTCGTATTTACCCTTGGCGAGTAAGAACTTTGGACTTTCCGGCAATTGAAGCAACAAACATGAAAATATTATACTCGGAAGTGAACAAATAATTGCAAATAAATTCCACGACCTGAACAAAAAGAAACCGTATTCGATTCTGAATGTTTGTGGTATAACTAACCATGCTATGCCTAAAAAACAATAAAATTTTATTAATTAAATAGATATTTTACCTAATGTATAATCTATTGATATAGTCGGGTACCTCTTTGATTCCTTATTACACTGTACCAATGTCGTACCTGTCGTACCCGCATGTGTTGTCTCCGTATTACACACGTACAACATAACAAATTTTCGTTCACCAGAGTCAGTTGTGAGTCAAGGTGTGCTGCCCACATAGCAAAATTATGTTTTCTAGATATTTTTAAAATATCTTTTGGAAAGTGATTGATATTTTACAAACATCGTTCTATCATCAACCAATATTTTCTATGTGTTTTAAAAACGTTTTTTGGCCGGAAAAAATAGTCATCAAAATATTTTACTTTGCTTTTCAAAATATTTTTTAAATTATATTTAAAATATTTCTAAACAGATGTTTTCAAAATATATTTATAAGATATTTTTAAAATGTAATACAATGATGTTGATAATATTTTTAATTTATTTTATAAATATTAGTCTTGGTTGTTATAAGGGGGCCCACATACTCGATTTTTCACACATTTGGTTAGAATAAATACTATATACCAGCTATTTCCACCTGTCTTGAAAAGAACTCTTGTTTAATTCATGTTTGAATAATAACATAATAAATAAATATATTAATTAATCATTTTATTGATATTTGACATAACTTTAATTTCCTATTAAATATTTAATATGTCAAAGAAATAGGAAATTATAATCATTACAGTATGCTAATGATTAATTCATAAACATGCATATGCATAAATAAAACATTCTTAAGAAAAATATAATGTGATACAGACCCAAAAAAGAAATATTTATAGGATCTTACATTAGATTTAAATAAAATTTAACAAGACAAAATAAGACACTTTGGAAAGGAGGATACGCTAGACCAAAAATTATAATTAACCAGATCAGATTATGTATAATAGAAATGCACTGAATTACTATTTCAGATATCTACTATCCATTTATATGGTTAATACATAATGGCTGACAGGCAGTAATAAACAGGCTTCTAAAAAAATAAAATATTCAAAGAAAAACATCCAGTTGGGTTAGCATACAAAATATATATTTATATTATAGTAGTATATAATTAACAATTAAGTACCTATAATAGAAATGCTAATATTATTTAAATAATTAACTCGATATATCTTGATTTGTGTACAAAAAAAAAAAAAAATAAAAAACTGTTTAGGTTAAATAATTAACAAAATATATCTTGATTTGTGTAACAAAAAAAAAAAATTAATATAACAACTGTTTAGGTTAAATAATTAACACATTATATCTTGATTTGTGTAACAAAAAAAAAATTAAAAAAATTCTTCATAGTAAGTTAGTGTACAAAAAAAAAATGTATATAACAACTGTTTAGTTTAAATAATTAACAAAATATATCTTGATTTGTGTAACAAAAAAAAAAAATTAAAAAAATTCTTCATAGTAAGTTAGTGTACAAAAAAAAAAATTTAAATAACAACTGTTTTGGTTAAATAATTAACACAATACATATTGATTTGTGTAACAAAAAAAAAAATTAAAAAAATTCTTCATAGTAAGTTAGTGTACAAAAAAAAAAATTAATATAACAACTGTTTAGGTTAAATAATTAACACAATATATCTTGATTTGCGTAATAAAAAAAAAATAAAAAAATTCTTCATAGTAAGTTAGTGTACAAAAAAAAAAAATTAAAATAACAACTGTTTAGGTAACTAAGTAATAGGTATAGTAGATAAAATAAATTATTACACCAATAAATATTTAGATTCAAATTAAGAAATTATATTAATATTTTTGCTTAGCTTTTTCTCTTCTCGGAACTTGGCATTAGCCATAAAAAATTTCATAGGTTTTAATATCTCTTGATCAATACAATTTTGATGACTTTTTACAGTTCTTATGGTTTCTGAAACACATGTATAAAATGTAAATACTTATTTATTTTATATATTACAAAATTATACAGGGGGACGAGGTGGCCGAGCGGTTTAACGCGTCGACTTTGGCACAGTCGGTCCGGGTTCAATCCCCGGCCATCCCCCCACTCCGACCCCAATAAAAATTCTGCCACCACAAACCCACAGACTCCCCCTACAGTACAACAGGCTAATGATCATTAGTAGTTATAGCCTTAACCTCAAAAAAAAAAAAAAAATTATACAATATTGTACAGTATGCAGGTATAATTAAGTTAATACAATTATGAAGAAATTATGGGAGGGGGGAGGAGGTATAACAGTGGTTATACAAATATCCCTAAATTTAAAATAAAATATAAGAAAAAAATTGATTAAGAATTATTTTTTATAAAACTTTTATAACCTATTAGCACATTACAACCGTTTTTTCTAATGGAACCCAATATTATCTTATAACAGTAATACCTCATATGAAATTTCCATCTACTAATTTCTAATTAATTTAAACTTAAAATATAGGTATTTAAAAAATAATTATTACCAAATATAAGAGCACAAGAGTTAAGAGAAGAGAAAATCATCTTCTTTTTTTGTCCGCTATATGAGAATTTGCTCAGCAAATTATTGTGAAACAATTTAGACATAATTTGACGGGTCATATCCGAAACTGTTGTACGTTCTAGCCGAACTAAAAATGTTATCTATAAAAAAATGAACATATTATTATATTATATAAAGGTATATTAATTATAATGTGTTATATTAAACGGATACTATACACTACAATAATTGTAGTAAATATAATATTTATAATATCACTAGTATAATTATTATACTAGTGATATTATAATATTTTTAATAGCTGAAACTCAATTAAAAATTAAAATTTATTAATTTTAAATATTAGTGAAAAGAAAACCATGTGTATGATGCATTATATATTATAATATGTATTTCTTATATACTTTTAATATTAATAATATATATTGATGGATTAATTTTCAACTGAATCATGATTACCATTTTTTGTCGAAAATCTTTGTCCATTATTTTTTCTTCAAATACGGTTAATTCATCAAGGCTGGTCAATGGGAATTTGTAAAAATTTTCATCAACAGGATAATAATTATTTTTTGTAGATGAGTTGTTCTGGTTTTTTTGCTGATCAGTTATAACATTTTCCAATCGTTCAATTTTAGTTGACATAGTTCTCACTTCATACTTCAAATTTGTCAAAGTACGTGTTAAGTTTTTCAAAATACAAAGCATTTCTGAAAAAAAAAAAAAATTTTTAATACAAATTGATTAGATTTTATTTAATCAATATATTACCAGTTTGAACTGTTGAATTATTTGATATTGATACAGACGATGATGGCGTACTAAAATGAGTTATTGAATTGTTCAAATGTTTATCTTCAACATTTAACTTTTTTGGGCAGTCATTTTTTAAATTTCCATTCATATTATCTATGCCATCTTCTAATATATAATATATATATAAAAAAAAAATTGAATTTTAAATACAATACTTCAAGCAAATACTATAATATATGCATTGATGTTGTTCAATAAAGTAAAATTAAATCAAGTACTTATACTTTTTAATAAGGTAATAATATGCAGGTAGGTTAAATAATAAATAATATAATTTTTATAATAATCAAAATAAATTATTTTACTGTAATGTATTGAAAAATTATCAACATTAATGTTGTCATGATGTAAGTCTGCATCTTTTTGTGGAGAAGTGGAATGAAGTGAAATTGACTCAAAATCCAACTTTTTTTTTATAGTCTTGTTTGAATTTAGTAAGCCAATATCGTCAACGTTCCATTTTAAAGATGGTGAGGTTAAGGAAGCAGTTGTGGATACTGAAGCTCTGTTTTTTGCAACGGATGATCCTATTAAAATTAAATAATTAATAATTAAATTTAAATAAAATAAACAATTATAACAAAATCTGATTTTTTGCTTACTTTTAAAGTTTGAAAACAATATATTATCAGAACCAGAATCTGAATCATTACTATCTCCTGCAATACCTGAAATAATTATATGTTGTAAAATTCATAAAAAATTCAGTCATTTTATTTAACTATTTTACCTGTTTCAATAAACTTTGGTGGGCTTAGAATTTTGTCTTGTTTTGTTTTAAAATGTTTTTTAGTTTTAATTTTTGAATATGAGAAGTCACGATCGTCGTCATCATCATCATCATCATCAATTTTTTTACGTCGAATGTTCCGTGTTTTTTTATCTTCTTCCAGTGAAGATAAGTCAGACGTAAAAGTTGCTATTTTAGCTTTTTCTTTAGCTTCTTTTAAACTCGCTAAAAAAAAAATTGAAATAAAAAAAAATCTTTTATTAAGTTACGATTTTTGGTAATATTCATTATACTAGGTATTTTAAATAATAACTAATAATCATATATATATATCATGTGTGATAATTGTATAACTGTTAACCATTACCTATATATCTGTACTTACAAATAGAGTTGGATAATACACGAATTTCAAACCAGGTGTAATCAAGTGTATTAGGTTGTGTTTTTTTTTCAATTTGCCTAGTTGTATCTAAATGCCTTTTGGGCCAAGCACATGTTTTTCCATCTCTTGACAACCAGTGTGATGGAACAGCTTCCACTGAATTTTCTTTTGTGAAAATAATAACGTGATAGGTCATAGTAAAAATTATACAGGAACCTGTTTCTGAAAAAAAGGTGCATATTAATTAATAGATAATATTTTATTCTTAATTGACTGAAGTATTATCATATAGTTACCAATTAAAATAAATATATAGTTTTGTTCAGTAAATATACAAGTTATATACAAGTTATAATGTTATATGTACAAGCATAATATAAATTAATTATTGTTACTCAGATGAATGTAAAATTGGGAAAACAATTTTTTGACTATTATTGTCTAAAAGCATAACTTTTTTTTTAAAATTCTTAAGAGGAGTCCAACTCAACTCAGCGGATAAGTTGTCAACTATATATATATTAAAAATAGTCGAACTCAATGGTTTTTCATAAAACGGTAGTTTAGTTAGAAAAACTTTTCCAACTAAAACTACTTCATTGCTAGTCTTAGTATGAGCTATATTTAATATTTCCATTATATTATTATCTTTAGTTAATATAAAACGATCAGCTATACTTCTTGTTTTTATAGTTGAATTTTGTAAAACAACAGTTTTATATTGTGGTTCTGTTAAATTATCCAATAAAGGTCCCAGGGTATGCTCATTTTTAAAAATTATTTCTATATTTTTATCTCTGTGAGTATTAACATTTTTTTGTTCAGAGTATCTTTTAATAATTTGTTGGAGAGGTTTGTCAGGTTTTCTTATCTTTCTTTTAAGAGACTTCATAAAGTTTTCAAATGGAAAAGCGCTTATATTGTCGAGTGATCCAAAGTTGAGGTAATCATCAGCAATGTGAAGAAGGCTATGCACATTATGAGAAATGAAATGTCTTCCATATAAAGTTTCAAATTGTTGAACAAAATATTTAAGCAAACTTCTAGCATAATCAATATATTTCTCCTGCATATTATCACTCAACAGTATTGTCATAGCTATATTTAGGGCCATAAAGTGCTTATAACATGTGTTGCTTATATTATCTTTAAAAACAATTTGTCCTGTATACACCAGTATTTGACGTAGTTCAGTGGCTTTATATCTTGGTAGTTCATTTAAAGCCCTAGGATTACGGGAAAAATCACAAGTTATATTCGGTTTTAATGATAAAAGTTGATCAGATATTTTTTTTTGTACTGAATTAGGTATCCGAACATTTAATGGTCCTTTATGAATCCATAATTGAATTAGTTTTTTCATAATACCAAGGCAAACTAGATGCATATAATCTAATCCAAATATGTTAACAATATCTATACCAGGTAAATCAGATAATATGGATATTGTAGGTCCAACATGATGTTCTTCATATTTTTTTGTAATATAGTCATTATGGGTACGCTTAATTTCACTACTGGCTGAATAGGGGAAACATGATCGGTTTTTCAAATATTCTCCTTCTTCTAAACATCGTGAACAAGAGTCATAACCAGAATGTCCCTTAATTTTTAGCACATAGGCTTTAGCGGGCGCGTCTAAAGAAAATCCATCAATGATGACTTTTAAGATTACACCATTTACATTGATACCATTTTGCAATAATTCTTTTGCTTCCGTAACAAATTGTTCTAAGTATAAATTAGAATTAGTAGGCTTTTCGTGGCCCCAGTAAATCCCAATTGGGAAAACAGAGTTTTTAAATGGCCGTATATATGCTAAAATTGGCCACAGCTGACTGGAACTGCTTTTAGAGATTGGCAAGCCATCAATTCCAATCACTATTTTTATCATATCAATATTATTAGTTGAATTAAATTTAAAATGATCTTGAATGGATGAACTCAAACCAAAATGGTAGTATAAACCAGGACTTATGGTTGATAAAGCATGTGTAGCATTAGTTTTTCTTGTTTCTAATATAGTACGAGAATCTTTCGGAAGTGATGATAGTGTTGGAACTTTTTTCAAAATTATCAATAACCCATCCAAAGCATTATGAGGTATATTAAATTGTGTTGCCCACATAACTAAATCACCTTTAAACTCATCACATATATTAATTGGTTCATTAGTTGGTAATTCATATTCATTGTTTTCAGAAAACTAAAAATGAGATTGTATAATAATAAGAAATTTAAAACAAAATAATAATAATAAAGAATATAGAAGAACTATTACCTTTGGAAATAACAGTTCAGAACTGGAACAATTATTATCAGTCAAGTAATTTGCAGTAGTTAATATTGGACTACGGAAATATTCATGCAAGGGTTTATTACAAATAACATTATCACCATCAGATTCTGCTTTCAATTTATACTCGTTTTCCTTTGGCAAATTATAATCATTAATATCAATGTCAAATACAGATTCTAGTTCTTCTTTAACTCTCCTCCTTTTTGTTCTTTCACTTGTCATTTTAATAATTTCAATATTATCATCTATTTTTTTTTAGTAAAAATCAGAATAAAACAAATACCTAAGTATTACTGGCTTACATATAGTTAAGGGTTTATATCACATTATCACCCCTCAGAATTTTTTTTTTTACTGTACAATTTTTAATCATGAAATTAGGTAGTATAATTATATTTAGTCATCATCACTTTGTTTATTAATTAATATAATAATTCTGATCAGTTTGAATTTTGATATGAAATTTATTCTATTTAAAAGGTTTATGCTGTGTCACATCAACAATTTATTAAATTTAACGGTTATACCAATACAAATATATTTTAATTGGATGTTAAATCAAATCATCAGGTATAATCTATAACAACCTAACCTATATTATAGCAGGTAGGTAATAATAGTAAAAAAATATTATTAATTATTATTAGCTATTATACAGTAATAATAGTATTATATATAGGTAATTAATAAGTAAATATTAATAATAGTATAATAACTAAAGTAATAATACCTATGGGTAGTAGGAATCTGACATAATAGATAAATATGGGATAAAAAATATGTCAGCTAGTTGACTATTTAATATACTTTAATACTTATCCTTATTATATAGGTATATAATGGCTATATAATAACTTATATAAAATATAACAATTAAATATATCTACCTACTATATTATAACCTAGGTGTACTATAGTTGAAGTCATGGTATAAACAATGTGGTATGATAAATTAACCTTAGGCATTACCTATACATAAAATTAAAAATGGAACTCTTAAAACTATATGGAGACATTAGTCCCCTCTAGAATTTTAAGCCCAGCTTGTTGTTATATCATGGCTGCACTGCTGCAGTAATGCATGTTATCCCACCAAAAACATATATGTAAAATGAGAGCCAAGTTCAATACTATAATATATGCCTTGGTTGTTGACTTCAACGACAAAAGAAGTGAGATCTAAATGGGTGCCAAGTTAGGATAATATATTGAAGCCTAAGGTGTGACTTGGCTACTTTTCATATACGAATTATTATTATAAGTACCTACTAAAACAGTAATGGAAGAGTGAAGATGATTTTCCGAAGAATAAAATAAGAACTCAAAGCTTTAGAACTTGCAAATGCTATAATATATAATTCGTAGCCAAGTCAGACCTTAGGCTTCAATATATTATCCTAACTTGGCACCCATTTAGATCTCACTTCTTTTGTCGTTGAAGTCAACAACCAAGGCATATATTATAGTATTGAACTTGGCTCTCATTTTACATATATGTTTTTGGTGGGATATCATTACTTTTTGTATGTAAATTGTTATAACCTAACCTAACCTAGCCATGACGTATTCTATAAATAAAGTTTATTACAATATAATATAATTCAGTTACTAATATTAATAATAATATTTATTATAAAATATTTTCCGTTGTATATACAGAGTATAAAATATATGTAAAATTAATATACAATTATTTTAACTCTTTTTGAGTATATTTTTAATTATCATAATTTTATTGACTGTAGTTTCTACTGTTGGGTGGATAATTCATAATTTGTAAGAATAATTATTTAATTATTTTAATTGTAATATTTAAAAAAAATAATATTAATTACATACATAGATAGAAAAAAAAGTATGTCGCTGCGCGCGGGTCGACAATATCGACACATATTGGGCTAGCCGTATTTTTGGAGCGGCGATACGGGATAGGTTATTGAAGTCAACATTACATTAAATTAGAGGAAATTCATTAATAAATTGAAAAATTAAACATAATAGATAAAATAATTGCAAAATTATAATAAAATCAATTGATTAAAAAATTAAAAATTAAAAATTAAAAAATTTTAAATTAAAAATTTTCAAGTTTCTGATTTTTTCCTTTGTATTTACCTAACTACCTATCTGTATGCCAAATTTGAACTTTCTAGGTCATCTGGAACTGGGTTAGAATTTTGATCTATAGGTAAGTCAGTGATAAAAATGACGATTTTCGGACGTTAATATCTAAATAACGGTTTGAAGTGTATTTATGAAATTTAGAGCACATATGTATCTCGTTAGTCTCAATATATGAGCCAAATTTGACATGTTTATGTGGAATAGTTTTTGAGTTATGAGGGGGTCAAAAGTGGCTCCAAATGGTTCGTGTAATATTACACACGGTGCTGCTCGCCAGTTCTGTTAGCTAGAACTTGGCTTGACACGCTACCGCGTGTCTAGATAGCTGTAATTGTGACTACTGACTTGTGTTGATATTAATAATAATTCGATGCTCCAGTTCAAAATTGCAACTAAAAAAAATCAGTTTATTGGGTTTACCCACCTAATGTGTTTTCTATATTGTAGCGCTAATATGTAACGTAATGTAAATTATGAAATTGAAAATGCTCTCTTGTAGTCAATATAATTATAACTACCTATATATTTTATTGCGTTCTTGAACCTAAATCGTTATAAGATGGTGTACATAACTCGGATTTGCTATAACATGAGTTGTTGCAGTTTTGAACTGAAGCATCGTTATAATGTATTACGATAGAAATATCATTCTATTTTTAATAATATCTAATAGTAAATAAGTCATACATTTATTTCTGAACTATGATGTATAATTAAAAGATGCATAATGTTAAAGTCTTGAGTATTATTTTATAACGAGTAAAATGTTCATCCTTTCTCATCCAACGTCGTAGAGACGTTACAATAATAATAACAAAAATACTAAATAAACCAAAAAGAACGTTTACATACCTGCTGTAATTAGTCCGATTGCAATTATTTGAATTATTAATCTGCAGCAGTTCTAAATGTGAAATTTTGAAATACTGAAACGTCTGAAACGGACAACGGTGAAAGCAGGATGGGTTAAAAATTAAAAATGTACATCGACACGTGACATCTTATAGTTTATAGTTTAATACTCGTGCAGTCGTGCCCTCGTGCCACTCATTATCTTTATTCTATATTTCTATGGTTATGGTGCCACTGAGAGAGCGCTACTCAAATGCGACCAAAATTCGTCCGATCTCGCGCATTCCCACCACTAAATCTGCCCGTACGCTGGCCGCCGTCGACTCCAGCCGCCGTTGCTACTTCGTCGTGGCGACTAGGTGGTAGAGTGGGAGAAATATGGGTACGAAAACGCTCGGTCATTTGGAATAATTTTGGATGCGCCAAGCCGCCAACGAGTAGCGCTCTCTCAGTGGCAACTGGCAATAGTGGCATGAGTTATAGTCTGGTCTCGTCTCAGGTGATTTTAGTGTTTAGTCTGTGTTAATGTGTTATAACTTATAGCTGACACGCCAATATCGGACCATCTACCTACTAATCTAATAAAAATATTATGCTACACAGAGAACGCTATAGCGTCAGTATACTGACTTAGGCATAGATCTATTATGACAAAATAATATACTGCGAGTCTGCGAATGCTGATGATAAAGTAAATTTTTGGTGGTGTCCACGGACTAAGATATCTTATAGTCCGTGGTGGTGTCTGATTGTCCGGGGAATATGGGACTATGGAGTAATCGTATACCGTTATGGGCGGCGGGTAACGGACGACGACGGCGGCACCGGAATTACCCATCCATATCGATGCGTACTTAATGCGTATATGGGTATATATTATTATGTAAATAATATATATTTAGCCATGATAGGTATTATCACAATCACAGAACGATACAACGACTTATAATAATAGTAACTTACTATTATTATAGTAGAATATTATTACATAATGATTAATGATAAATGATAATTTATTATATTATTGATACCTAACGGGCCAGTAACGGCTAACGTCATATAAAATAGAAATATCATCATTCCATGCACCTACAAAAAATTATTATTAATTATGTAATATAATATTATATATTCAACACAAATACACAATATAATAATATTGCTATAATACGAACTATACTCTGTCTGGCGAGAGAACGCGCATGGCAAAATAAATAAGAACCGAGGAACCGAGAAGGGTTACAATAATTAGAAAATAATAAAGGTACGCATATAAGAAACCATAAATACACCACTGCTCGGTGGGGCCCATTATTCTTATTGAAATATTTCCCTAATCATTTTTTATTATCATAACTCTCAGTTATTTTTAAAATATTTTAAAATTAACTGATAGGAAATATTTTTCAATAATATAAAAATGTTATTTTATAGTTATATACTGTATGATAATCATAAAATATTTCAAAGAAGAAGTTTTTAAAATATTTAAGAAATAATTGACTTAACATATTATACGATATATATTATAATTATATTTTTAAAATATTTACCAAGAAATATTTTTGTCAAGACGATTAAAAAATATTTTGTAAATATAATCATCACCAAAATGCTATGTGGGTGATAGTTTTGATATTAGGCAGAATTTAGCTATTATATAATTTATAGGTAATATTATTATCTAAGACACGACTTGGGCTATTATTGATACTATTATTTTTAAATAAATTATGACCTTTTTGAAACTGTACATTTTAAAATCATCTTAACTTACTTAAATATAATGATATCAATAAAAACTTACGTCGTTAATTAGATACCAAAACTAACAGCACACTATCGAAACTGGCTAACGAAAATTTGCTATGTAGTATACTAGTGTAAGGCAACGAATACAATGTCCTCTTAACTTAATATAAATAAATATGCTCAAATACACACAAATGTATATATAAGTATATTGGGTAGTAGTAGGTATAATAGCTTCCTAGCTATAATAATTACTATTGATAAAGATATTAATCAAATATTATAATGCTCACATGGAAGTAATATTACACCAAATGTCCAGAACAATTCCATCCAACATATAAATTTTTTACGATTTTTGCTGTTCACGAACTCTCCAAGGTATGAATAGAACACAGTTATCCCAGACACCCTAAAAAATCAGTAAAATCAGCTGAGAAAATCAGAGAGAGAGAAAAGAAAATCTAAGCAAAATCAAGATAGAACAGTTTTTATATCGACCTATTTTTTCATTCATTATTGTTTACAGACAAGATGGGCATCTGGAGGCTCCTCAACTAACAGATTATGGCAAGGAACAGTCAAAATATAGATTTTGGCGAGCCCCAGTCCACCCCTATCGGCGTTCAAAGTGTTAAATAACGAATGACTGTGTGTCTGTGTAATACCTATTATTATTTTTTGGAAATATGTATATAGTCTATGTTCATGACTTTTTTATTTTTCATAAACTTAAAAGCACCTGAAGCGCCCTCATACCAACAGCGCCAGAGGCAAGAATTCCCACTTGCCCTCTCTCCCAACTGAGTGTTCTAAACATATTATTTTGTTTAGAAACCTAAAACACACTGACTACATAGATAATATAAGACATAAGTGCATAACCCGTAGGTTAGTTTATTATATTAAGAGGACGCCACACCCGCATGTGTTGTCTCCGTCTTACAAACGCGTAACATAGCAAATTACGTCCACGGAAAACAAACGAATCGGCATCAAAAAGTGGTTTTAGAGTAAAAATACCTATAATAAAACTTAAAGAGAACAATATTTTGGAGGGAACCTCATCGGCGTTTTTAAAAATATTAACTATTAAAAAAGTTGTGGTTATTTAAAAAAATTAAAAAAAAAAGAGTTTTTGTGCCTTCAATATCTAGCTGTGTATTTAGATTAATACAAAACCCCGATGAGGTTCCCTCCGAAATATTGTTCTCTTTAAGTTTTATTATAGGTATTTTTACTCTAAAACCACTTTTTGATGCCGATTCGTTTGTTTTCCGTGGACGTAATTTGCTATGTTACGCGTTTGTAAGACGGAGACAACACATGCGGGTGTGGCGTCCTCTTAATAATATTTCCTTACCCAAATCCACTCATTAACTTGCAAAATATCAATACTAGGTAAATCTGAGACACACTAGATATGAGGTTGAAAATACCATCAATCATCATGCAGACGACCAATGTATACTTTCTACCTTTGGAATCCGCCATGTAACCCGAAATAAAACATCCAAAGAACATTCCTGAAGAAATTCATACTATTGAAAAGTCACATAAATATGAGGAATGAAATTCTTTTGAATACCTATCATCGAAGATCCATTTAGGATTCCTTTGTGGACAGATGTCATTTGAAAATCACATTGTGCTGCCGGTATAATGAAAGACACTGATGTCACGCTAATGGAGATTGCTGCGATAAGCGATCCACAAATGAATAATATGTAGTAATGAAAACTCCCAAATCCTGCATGATATAATCGAAACATTAGAGGACCATTATTTAGTACAAATTATAACTTACCGACAATTTCGATAGCTTCGTCCAAATTTACTGATTTGGTTATCAAATATTTAGAACTTACTGTTTCTAGAAATAAAAATTGTCAACAATAGTAGTACAAGATAATATAATATTATATTATATTATTATATACTGCACTGCAAGATACTATTTAGGGTGCCACTAATCACTAATATGATCCTCGATTGAGAATCTAAGGTTGAAGGCTCTAGAACGTATTGTTGTATATTTATTATTTTTCCACTTAAACTATGTTCCTGAAAATATTTCATCTATAAACAATGTTATGTCTAATTATTTTGTTGGCATAAGTGCATAAATTGTAACAACAGTTGTATACATAGGTACCATATGCAACAGTCCTTACCACCGACAAATTACCAAAGCTGGGCAGTAACTAGTTTAAAAGTTAAAAGGTAAATTATAAAATACTTTTTATACTTTTTTGATAACTTTTAACTTAACTGGTTAAAATTAAATAGGAACTCTCAGACAGAGCAATATCTGCTAAAGATTTAACTAAATACATTATTACTTTAGTGAGTATTGCTTATTTTTAATATAATTAGGATGTTTAGCTATACATTATTATATTTAATAGTTTTATACAAAAATTAAATTTTCAAATAAAATGTTTTTATTAAAAATGAATTTAACGTACCTACTGTTGTACTTATGCCTAAAAGTAAAATAAATTACTTTTATAGTTTTATCACAATAATATCATCAAATATAATTAGTAATATTATATGTTTTATTTATTGTTCAAAATGTTCTTTTTCGTTTAGATTCATCATTTTAAAAAAACAGACTTTTTAATAACCCTCTGTTTACTTCAGAGTAAGTATCAGTTTAAAACGACAAAATTCAAGAATCATTGTTATATTTTAAATCGTAATACTATAAAGATATAACAGAGCTTAAAACACTTCGCAACCCTGGTTAAAAGCAACTTAACTTTAACTTTTTAACTCGTTAATGCCCAGCCTTGTGGATATATATAAGAAGTATATTATGTCTCTAGACTCTAAGTATCGATAATTACGATTTACAATGCGTATAGAATGAAATAAAGTTTAAACACTTCAAACTCTCTACCAATGATATTTTGAGGTCTGTCACATAAAAAATGTCTACTAGTTAAATAAAGTTTATTGTATATTTAAAAAATCAAAAACTTTAAAACAATTCGTTTTTCACATAATTAATAATAGGTACCTAGTAAAAGTTTTTAATTTATAATTATTCAGAACTTTCAGATTTAAACTAACCGAAACTTTTGATATCGTTATCCAAATGTACCGGTTGAGAACTTATAAGACACATCGACTTCGAGTCTTCTATAAAATAAAAAAAAATTATATCCATAGAACATGTGACTGATTTAAAAGTGAAAATCACTAATTTAGAAAAAACCGTTTAACTAAAATTATATTTACCTTTTGAGTTATTTTTTTCCATCATAATCAACACGCACAATCAAGCAGGTACAGTCAAAGGCATGCATAAAATAACGAACATCCGTCCAGCGTAGGTACCTATAACTAAAATTATTATACTTCACCATTCATATACATTCAATAAAAAAATTGCCATTTTAATTCAATATTACTGAGCTTATCTAATCTATTACATCATGAATTAGGTACTCATCAACTTTCATAACGCAACAACGAATACAATCGTATGCTAACAGGTTCAAATTGGTCGTTTGTGAGTGTATGTGTGTGTGTCACGTGAACTTCACTCTTTTTTTTTTACACAACAGAACGTGAACATGAACGACGTATATATGTATATTTATTAATATACTACTACTAAAATATTCTTATTTTATACATATTTTATTTGATTACGAATTATAAAAATAAAATATGTGAAACTCAAGTGGGAAAAATGACATAAAACAACAATAATATTATGATTTAAACGATTTTGTATTAGTATATTTAATTGGTTCATAAAAATAAACTAAAAAAATTAAATAAACGACTAAATAATGAACGCATCGATTTTTTCGAAGAACTTGAACGTGAACGTGTTCATTTGAAATAAATGTGAATCTCCTTTTTAAGCACTGACCGTGGTCCGTGAACGTGAACGAATTCATTTTTTTAGTAAACATTCGGAAAACTGTGGTCATGTTTTAGTCCGATATGCAATATGCGTGGTTAATAGGGTTGGGCAATGGGCAAATAATAGTTATATACTTTAATACTTACATGTAACTAAGCTATGTAACTCAGTTACTTTTGTAACTTGTAACAAGTAACTTAGTGACAAGTAACTTAGACTCCCCCCCCTTTTTTTTATCTACAGGTAAGAAATAAATGTTCAAAAACTAAAACCAAACTGAAATATTGTATTAAAAAATTTAAAAAGTTACAACTTCCTTAAAATGATAATTTAATATAATAACAAATGTACACATTTTTTTGGTATGAGTAGACAATAATTCCTTCGTTCAAAATGACATTAATTAAACATCAGCCGTGGCCCATGAGGACAAGTTACAATATAAAACAATAAATATTAAGAAACACGTACGCTATCACGGATAGCGTGACAATGCGACGGCGACGTCGATAATAAATATTGAGGTCTGAGGTAATTACGAACGGCGAGACTTGTCTCATAGCGTACATAGTAAACCCCACTCACATTAGTATTCCCCTTGTACCCGAGCGTCTATAATTCTGAGACATTGCATCGCAATGTCTATTAGATATAATACCATATTTGGAATAGACCTTATGGCTTATGTCCGTATATCGCCTTCTCAGTTCTCATACGCACGGCCGTAGCCAATCTATTTTAAGAATTATAATATAACTGTTATGAACGCATTAGCTATTAGTATATAGTATTAGCCCTTTGTATTAGAATATAAGAGTATATTATTGTAATCTGCGGGTAACGCCTAATGTGTGGGTGACTCCCGGAATATTGCAGCTACACGGCAGCCGCTAGGGAACCGTGGAGTCAGTCGTCTTAGCTCTTTTAAACCTGTACGTCGTTCTGACAGTCAATCATAAATATTACAGTGAATTATAAATTTCTACTCACAATAAAATTATATTAGTATTTAAATCTTTAAAACTGTTTTGTTGTACTCTCTCCAAAAATTGAACCCTCACACTACCGAAATAACAACGTTCAAACGGAACAACCCGTACGAGCACAACAACTGGTGGCAGCGGTGTCGCGGTCATAATTTTTGGAAAAGAAACAACTTCAGAAGGATAACTAATATATCTAATATATATCTATTCGAGGTAATTTTATACTTCATTTTGCAAATATTAAAACTACTTCGTCCACGTAGGTATATCGTCATAAGGACTATATCAATTGAGAGGTGGCATATAAGTCGCTCTCGTCAAAAAAGTTTTTCACGGGCGTTCCAGTTGTCAACAACAAGCGCACCGTCTATAGTGGACACGCATTGTATTCAACGTCGTGATCTACTCTTCACAACACCATTATAGCCACGATGCCGCCGCCGTAGCCGTCGTCACCGTCGCCGTCGTGGAGTCACCACCGCCGCTGTGTTGCTGCAGCCGCTCTTGTCGCGATAAGCTGTTACGTCAACGCCAACGCGTCGTGGGACACACAATCACTTGAGCACAATACAACTGAATGCGATGCATTCATGGGTAATATTGTAAGCTAATTATTAAAATATTATTATACATATATATTTATTTTTTTTTTTTTTTAACGTATTATTGTCGACTGGTACGACTATAAGTCGTTGTCATTATTACTATTAGTATTTGTATGATTATTATTATTTCTATATCAATAGTGGTATTAACTATAGGGAGTGGTGATACTACAAATTATAATAATCTAGCCATATTAATTTAATTAATTTTTTTATTTTTATTTTTACGTATACAATTTAATGCATGTCAGATAGGTCTAGTAATAGTAACAGTAGTTCCGAGAGTTCTGATTTAGACGAAAACTACGTACCATCGCGTCCGATTGACATAAGTCTGTTAGGATTGTCTAGGCCTGTTACTAGATTACTGAATAACCGTCAAAAAGAAAACGTAATACAAGATTGTAGACAATCGAAAATAACAAATAAAAATTTTAATTCAAAATTGCTAGTAGGTACAAAAGATAATATTCAAACTATAGAATCTAATAACACAATGGCACTACCTACTTCGACCACATTATCCTTAGAGACAGCAATAAGATTAATTCCACATTTCAATGGGGAGAATGTACAGGAGGTATATCCATTTATAAACGCATGCAATTTTGTCATGCGAAATGTTGATGAAACCATAAAACCGGTACTCTTACAAGTTATAATTACTAAGTTGTCAGGCAAGGCGTTCGCGATAACCCAACATAAAGAAATTTCTACATGGGAAATACTTAGGGATAATTTAGAAGGCACTTTCTGTGCTACTCGCACACCCGGATATCTTCAGTTAGAGCTCACTACTACTAAATTCCAACAAGGTGAAATGGTACGAGATTATGCAACGAGAGTAGAAAAACTATTGCATGAACTTTGTAACGTAAGCACAAAGGATAAATCAGCTGGTAACTACCGAAATAACAACGTTCAAACGGAACAACCCGTACGAGCACAACATAACTGTACAACGAAAACCTGATTTTAACAAAATATTTAATATTGAAACATACATCATATTTATAATATAAAATAAAATTCACATTTGTAAATATTTTATAAAACAAAATAATTATTTATTCGTCCAGTGTTCTAATTTCTAAGTGGGGAGTCGTTGTCCCTTTGTCTCCTATGACGCTTCGCCACTGATACAAGTTACTCATTTATAATTTTTACTTGTCACTTGTTACTAGTTACAAATTTTCTTGTAACTTTATATAAAAGTCACAAGTTACAATTAAAAGGTACATTGTGCTTTTTAAGCTTTGATAATTCATAAATGGATCTGCAAAAGAAAAAAAAAATTAACACAAGATTCCATAGTTTGTCCACCTTTTACAACAAAAAAGAATGTCTATACCGGAAGGTCAAATTAAATTTTTACGAGCGTTCGAAGTTAGACATCGGATATATTCTCGTAAATTAACAAATTATCATACAATGATTTTCTAATTTTGTTGTTACCATAGATACTTGAAATTTATACCATATGTTTCTTATAATTTTTTATACTTAATAGAATTTTTAAAATATTTCGACTCATGTTAAGTTGTTTACGGACATTTTCAATTTTTAATTTTTTTAGTTATTTTTTAATACAATGTACATATCATGTAAATTAAATTTTATTCGTTTGGCCAAAATGCTTGAAAATTGAATACAAGACTGAAGGCTCCTCAAACATGTAACAAGGTACCAATTTAAAGATATTAAAAATACAGTCAATTTTTTTTATATCTTTTCATCTTTGTTTTCACAATTAAACTGTAACTTGTATAGTTGTATATAGTTACTCAACATAAAAGTATCTAGTTACTTGTAAATAGATACAAGTAATTTTTACTTTGGATTTTAAACTATGAGGGTAGTTTATTATAACTGAATCTGAATAATACTTCTTATAAGAGTTTGAAGTTAAAATGTTAATGAAATTCGTCAAAATCGAGAAAATATTCAAATTATTTTGAAGTACAAAATAAATAAATTGTTTTAATTTAATATCTAAGACTTGAACAATATATATATAATACATGGTTTCTTATAATGTTTTCTTATAGAAACCTAAAAATCACAATAAAGATTTTTAGTTATTTTGTTATAATTTCAAAAATGTATGTTCGTAGAGCCTTGAAACCCCTTAATACTAAGTAAATAACAATCTGCAGTATACGATTATATGAGATACTAATATATAAATTACTGTACTATGAATTATAATATAATATAATATGATTAATATGGCATTATATATAATTTGTATATTAGCATATATTTAGTTCAAACTAACGTTATATAAATCTACTGGGTATATTATAAGGGCAATTAATGATAATATGAATAAAAAAAAAAAAATCCTTAAAAATATTGACTGACAAACCGTCACCGCTCAGAATCGTTTTTCGTACCTACATTTGTAATGGTTTATCGATAAGTCAATGGTCATTGAATTCGAATTTAACACATTCCTTACGGTAACCTACTCGATGATAAATACCTACTTACACTCAACACTTACTATACCTAAGCAAGTTTTTCTTATTTTTTTTTAACATAAGGTAAATATACTTATAGGTACTTACTTACTAGAAGAGAGCACGACACTAAAATATGAACCATACAATGTGAGTAGTATAGGGGTCACTATGGTACACTTTCATTTTAAATGCAAAATTCCTTTAATTATTTTGCAAATCGTGAAACGCAATAATTATTAAAATATTTTGCAAATCGTGAAACGCAATAATTATTAAAATATTTTTCAAAAAATCTGAAATGCAAAAATACTAAAAATAATTTTCATAGAAATTGAAATGCAAAAAATACTAAAAATATTTTCCTATGGGGGACTTCGGCACACGTGACATTTAAATGCAATAATTACTTAAAATATTTTTCAAAAATCTGAAATGCACCAAAACATTTTTTAATAGAATTGTTCTATCAAAAATAAAAATCGAAATAGCATATTTAATTGCAAAATGTATTAAAAAGAAATTGAAAAAATTAATTTAAAAATTAAAAATATAATAAATAATAAAAATAATGGCAAATATAAATTCTATAAGCATATTAGAAAATATGAAAGTCTCTGAGCTTAAGTTAATAGCAAAAGAGGCTAAACTTAAGGGTTATAGTACCCTTAAAAAAAATGATCTTATATCAAGAATTAGGAGAGGTCATACAATTCGCGATTTAACAACTTCTGAGCTTAAGTCAATAGCTAGAAGTTTTGATATAAAACAAATTTACAAACTTAATAAAGAATGTTTACTAAAAAAAATTAATTTAACAAGAAAGCAACAACCTTTCCGTAAATTTCAAGAAGATATATTCAAGGATGAAGTTTTTAATAGTTCATTAAACAATAATCCATTTCAGAAGTTAGAAAAAACAATTTTCACAGAAGAAAATTATTTTAATAGTTCATTAGAAAAAACATCAGATGTTTATGATTTGATAGATATAATTCAAATGAATAAACAAATCCAAAAGAAATTTAAAATACATGAAGCTGAAAATAAAATTCGGTTTAGAGAAGCTTTAATAAAAGATCTAAAACTATGTAATGCAAAATACAAAATTGATTATGTACATAAAGCTCTAGATTCCATGTTAAAACTTGTCCAAAAAAATTCAAGTTATGAAAAAGGTGATCAAATAAATATTATAGTGATGAATCCAAATTTAAAAAATACTATATCTACTGATATGAAATCTGATAATTTTTTAACAAACTTAAAATCAATTATTGTTAACATATTAACTTCAGCTGAAACAATTGATATAACAGAAACTACTTTTCAAGTTCAATTAGTGAAAATACCAAGAGGTTCAAGGAGAACTAAAATAATTAATTTATCAGAAAATATAAAAACAAAAAGAAGTATTATTGAGATTAATAACGATGATAATTTATGTTGTCCGAGAGCTATTGTTGTTGCATTATCTACTGAAACAAACAATATTTTAGGTCATGAATTAGACCCCAATAAAATTAAACAATTGAAGATGGGTAGAAAAATTCAAAAAGATTTAGCTTTAGAATTATGTAATATGTTACCAGAATATAACGAAGAAGGATTTACATTGAATGATATTAAGAATGTGGAACTTGCACTAGATATTCAAATAAATGTTATTTGTGCTGAAAATTTAAATACTTTAATTTATAAGGGTGAGGATAAAGAAACTAAAATTTATTTGTATAAAAATGGTAATCATTTTGATGTTATTAAATCCGCTAAAGCTTTCTACGGATCGTGTTATTATTGTAATAAGTGCGATAAACCATATCAAAATAAAGATAAACATAAATGTGGTAAAAATAAAAATAAAAATAAAAATATATGTAAATTGTGTACATATTATGGTGAGAGATTTGAACATTCAATTAGTACAAAAAATAAAATATATAGTGAAAAATGTAATAGATATTGTTATAATCAAGAATGTTTAAATCATCACGAATATGTATGTGCCTATGTATATAAATGTATTGATTGTAATAGAATATTGTTTAGAGATAGGGAACATAATTGTGGTTATAGTAAATGTAGAAATTGTCTAGAAGAAGTGAAAATAAATGAACATCAATGTTATATTAGATTAGCAAAAGGAGGTAAATGCTTAGTAGGATGTACAAAATGTGGAGGTACAAATAAACCATATCAATGTTCTTATACAGAAAAATATTTGTTTTTTGATTATGAAGCTCAACAAGAAACAGGAACTCATATCGCATATAAAATAATTGCTCATGATTTTGAAGGAAATAAAATTATGTTTGATACAAATGAAGAATTTTGTAAACAAGTAATATCTGAGGAATATAGGGGTTATACATTTATAGCACATTATGCAAAAGGATACGATTCACAATTTATATTGAAATACTTGGTTGATAACACTCTGAAACCATTTAAAATTTATAATGGTACAAAATTAATGTTATTAGAAATTAAATATTTAAAAATAAGAATAATAGATAGTTCTAATTTTATTCAAGGTCCTCTCAGTAGTTTTCCCAAAACGTTTGGTCTCAAAGAACTGAAAAAAGGTTACTTTCCGCATTTCTTTAATACAGTAGAAAATCAAAATTATATTAGTAAATTACCTGATAAAAAATATTATGGAGTCAAAACAATGAAACCAGAGAATAAACTAGAATTTGAAAAATGGTATAATGAAAAAATTAATGAAAATTATATATTTATTTTTAAAGAAGAATTAGATTCTTACTGTAATTCAGATGTAGATATTTTACGAAGAGGATGTTTAGAAATAAGAAAACAATTTTTGGATATAGCTAGCATTGATTCTTTTTGCTATACAACTATAGCAGGTGTTTGTATGAGTATTTACAGATCAAAATATTTGTTAGAAGATACTATAGCTGTTTTAGATAAAGAAAAAAATGAAAATTATTCAAAACAATCGATAACGTGGTTACAAAATTTTAATAATAAAAATATCTCACATGCATTAAATGGGATCGAAATAATACTAGCAGGAGCTAAAGTAGATGGATTTGATAATAAATCAAAAACGGTTTATCAATATCATGGATGTTTTTGGCACGGTTGTACTAAATGTTATAAAGATCGAGAAACTATAAATAATATAAATCATGAAACAATGGATGATTTGTATCAAAAAACAATTGAAAGAAGTACATCAATAAAAAAAGCTGGTTATAATCTTGTTGAGCAATGGGAATGTGATTGGATAAATAGCACTACATACAAAAAAATGAAAAAAGCTGATATAGCTGACCCTATTAATCCTAGAGATGCTTTCTTTGGAGGTAGAACAAATGCGACAAAATTAAGGGTAAAAAACACAAAAATGCGTTATATTGATGTATGTAGTTTATATCCAACTGTGAATTATTATGATTATTATCCTGAAGGACATCCCGTAAAAATATTTAATCCAAAAAAAAATGATAAAAAATGGTTTGGTTTAATTAAATGTAAAATTTTA